GATATCCTCTTTTTCAGAATTCCTAGAGCTCTTCTGTGCAAAGTCCTAAATAACCAGTCCCCCACCGGGCACTCATTCTCCAAACCAGCTAATTACCAGAATGGGCCGGGGAAGTTACAAATGCAGATCCCTGGGCCCCCATCCTGAACCCACGGAATCAAATCCCTTGGAGGGAGCCTCAGAAATGCAGACTTGGGCAAGTCCCACAGGTGAGAATTACCAGTAGGTTGGGGATGCCCACCCTGAGGAGCAGGCAGAAGGGAATCAGCTCAGGGGAGGGCTTCTCTGTCTCCAAAACATACACAATTGTTCTCTCTGCATCAGGGCGCTGCTGCTGGGATCTAGTCACAGCACACAGACGAAACAGGGGACAAACACTAGAGCCCTGGGCAGGCCTGCAGGGAAGGATGTGGATGCTGAGGCTGCCCCCTCCGACTGCCCCGCCCACAGCTCCGGACCCCCTTCTCTCTTCAGCCTAATTTTGAACCAGACAGGAAGACCTGCACCTCTTTTTACCTGAGTCCTTTCAGAATGTTACCAAGCCCGGAGCCCACAGAGGCAGGCAGAAGCTGCCTCTGTGAGTGAGGGGGGAAGAGGCCAGCTGGGGCGCTGGCCCGTCCAAGGAATTTCACTGCTTAAAAACCCCTGGGGGAAAACCAAGGGCCATGGGAACAAGTCACCCAGTTGACAAAGCCGGGTTCCTGCCGCAGCAGCAGCCTCCCGGGGCCACAGTCCGCTTCCAGGCCCTCCATGCGGGCCTCCCCTTGGGCAGACCTCCCCAGGTTCACATCGACTCAGAGACAAGCCTGCCTTTTCCAGGCCACCTGCTGGGGCCCCAAGGGCTGCTTCTCCCAACACCTCACCTGGCTTCCGGCTCACCTGGCCCAGCATCCCTGTGTTCTGCGTGCCCAGACTGTCCCCCATCTGGACCAAGGCCTGGTTCCTTCGCGTCCTCTTTCTAGGACACAGCCAGGACACACAAGCAAGCCCCGGGAGCGCCCCTCGCTGCAGGTCCCACGCTTCTCTGAGCCTCGGTGTACCCACCAGGGAGGTGAGAGGGGCTCAAGGGCTCCGCACGCAGTGGGCTGTCTATCCCTCCATCCCAGCTCCTGGTGACCTTCCGCTTGTTCCTTAAGACCGAAGGGTGGACAGGTTTTCTCTTTCCTTGGCCTTTGGTGGGAAAAGGAACTCCCTCCCTCCAGATCCTGTCCTGAAACACAGGAAAGCGCAAAGCTCCCCTGCTTCTTCCTACCCTGGCAACGGGGTGAGAGGGGCTGAGAGAAGCAGACAGAGAGAATACAGGAGGGCAAGGTGCCACCACGCTTCCTCAGTCCCAAATGCATCCTGACCGCATCTCCGCAGTCACCTTCAGGGCTCAAACGCACCCTTCACTAAAGTATTACTGAGTGAGGCTTCTTACACACTAGGAAAATGTCATCCCTTCCCTCTAAGAGGCTCACCCCTAGTAAACACAGGATCAGCCTCCCAGGCGATGAATGTGTTTATGTAAGTCTCGACCCAAGTCCGCTGGGCCCTGGCAGGGGCGTCGGTCAGGCTCAGAGAGTGAGCAGGGAAACACCCGCCAGAGAAGCTGCTGCCCTCCCTCCGCCGAGAAAGAAGGTGCGGACGCTGCTGTGCAGGACGGCGGCAATATGGTTTGGCAGATGGGGAGAGGAAGAGGATATACGGCAGAAATTGGAGGAGGAGTTTTCTGGGTTGTTTTTTTTTTGATGCCTGCCTGCAGCAGAAAAGCTGGGGCGACGGGAGTGGGAAAGCAAGGGTGAGGTGGGTAATAAAGATGGGTTCCAAGAGAGAGGCCGGGAAAAAAAAAGGGGAGAAGGAAGAAAGAGGTGGGAGGCCTTGCCAAGAAAGAGCAGGGAAGTAGGGACCAGGAGAGCTGGGAATGGATGTGTGAGGAGCAAGCTGGGCCCTGGTGACAATGAAACATTGGGTCCCAGGATCCGCGATGGTGATACCAAGCTTCCAGGCTAAGCAGACAGAATGTGGGGTACTCTTCCAAACCGCAGTGGGGAAGTTGGTCACGGGGGAGGGCTCTAAGAGGGGAAATTCCGCCTATCATGTTGAATTCAAGATGGGGGTGAAAACCCAAGTGTGTCCCAGGAACTCTGGCCTTCACATCACGGAAGATGCTGGGCCAGAGACCTCCTGAGCTCGGGGCGGGGGTACTGCTAAGGAAGCGGGAGTTAGACGTGGAATCTGGCCAATCCTGCCTCTCCCTGCTCTGGACGCCATCCCTCACCCCTCCTGGGGCTGTCCCACCCCCTCCAAAAGGGGCTGTGAGGGGTGGGGGAGGCATCTTGGTGCTGATCAGGAACTTACTTCCTCCGGGGAAACAGGGAAGCTGCAGGAACGGCATTTCTTCCCCCCAGCCCCCACCCCTTCAGATCTAGGAGGAAATATTGGTCATCTCCTCTCTTTGGGGCCCCTGGCTCACACAAATGCCATCTCCTGGTCCCCAGCCACACCGATGATTCAGGCCATTTACTCAGATCCATGCTAATGAGTTTTTTTTTCTGTCACCTAATTAGTTCACAGTGAACTCAGCCTTCAGAGGAAAGAGATGCGATGCGAGAGAGCTGGGAAAAGGACAGAAAGAAGGCAGACGGGAATGCTACAAGAAAAGAGCAGGACCCCAGCTCCAAATGGGGTCCCCTACCCGCAAAAGACCAACTATGCCTTCCTCAGCCATGGGGACCTCTGAAAGTAGAAACGGGGTGTTCAGGTGAAGGACACCCCCAAGAGCCTCACACAATGAGAGAAAGATGGGAGTGCAGCCCTAACTCTGAGGCCCAAGTACTGGACAGGGCCCTGCCCACAACTCCAAGTCATCAGCAAAAGGCCTTGCACTCTGCCTGCATTTCCGAACCCACCACCTGCTGGTGGGCGTCCCCCTGCAAATGGAGTCGGAGGAGGAAGCAGATGGCCCAGGGCCAGGCCCATCTGCCCCACATGCGTTCAAAGGTCACCACGCCGCTGGGGTGCCTGCCGGTGCTGCCCGTCCCCACCACACCCGGGGTCGTGGTACATCTGCCAGCAGCGTGCACCCACTTCCTCTGCCCCTCAGTAGCCGAAGTCCAGGGCCCGAGAGCCTAGAGAAAGGAGCGCTGGGCAGCTCAGTGGCCCGGGGTTCTAGTCCCCGACGCCTGGCGCTGTGTCCCTGGAGGTCGGTCAGCGCCCACCAGCCCCGAGCCCGCCTCTCGAGCGGCTCC